CTGCCCCCACACAGTGATCATTTCTGTCCCCAAACAACTTGGGGGACATTAATGCCACAGATGGTTTCCATGGCAAAGAAATTAGATCTGAACAGAGGGCCAGCGCGGCACTGCCGAGCGAGCAGTCCCGGCGGCACTTCGAGAACAAGCCTTTTCGGTTTCACAGCATGTGAGAAGTGGCTTTTTTGGAACAAGGATTGGGACCCTGAGTGGTTAAGTCATGTTGCGCTGTTCCTGCCTCCTGCTTTCTCCTTCCTTCCTGCTCACTTGTCCCACCTCCTCCTTTCTAGACTGTGCTTCTGCGGGAGACACTTAGCTACCACAGGGGCTCCTCATCCACGATGCCGGGACACAGCTTCCCGTCTCTGTCACTGGCCCCTCTGCCTTCCACCAGGGCTCTCAACAGATGCGGGCTCCGTGCTCCTGGGCCTCCAGGCTCCTAAGCCATGAACCAAATGATTTCTATTCTTCTTTTGACAGATAGCGTTAGACAATGAGAGAGACAGACAGACAGACAGACAGAAAGGTGTTCCTTCCATTGGTTCACCCCCCAAATGGCCGCCACGGCCGGAGCTATGCCGATCTGAAGCCAGGAGCCAGGTGCTTCTTCCCAGTCTCCCATGCAGGTACAGGGGCCCAAGCACTTGGGCCATCCTCCACTGCCTTCCCAGGCCACAGCAGAGAGCTGGACTGGAAGAGGAGCAACCAGCACTAGAACCTGGTGCCCATATGGGGTGTTGGCACCGCAGGTGGAGGATTGACCAAGTGAGCCACAGCGCCAGCCCCCATCTCTATTCTTTGTAAATCTCCCAGTCCCTAGCATTCTGCTGCAGCAACAGAAAGATAACAAAGACACCTGGAGAGAAGGCCGACAGGAAATATGGGGAGCAAGCCGCAGTGAAGGCCTGGGCCCTACGGACTGGGCACACAACTACGCCGAGCCAGGATGCGGTCACTGGCTCGCACACCCACTCACTCGCCTGTGGAGAGGGAGCGAGTGAGACCCTGCCCCGCTGTGACTGCAGAGCTGTTAAGTGCAAGACACGGGGACACCTGCCCACGTCCACCGAAGGGCAGAGGGACGGTCAGTGAGCAAGTGTGGTCTGCAGCACAGCACGGGTGCCGATGCTGGGGCGTGGCCAGGCTGGGCTGCCCTCTCCCGCAAACAGTGGAGGGTTTTGGCTTAGAAGCTATGAGTCTGCTCCTCTGTTGAGTCCGTGTTAGATCCCGGCCTGTCCACGGCCCCAAGCCCACACTGATTCTGTCAGCAGAGGGGGGGGCCGGCGCCACAGCACCACGTCCCACAGGGGAGCCCAGTCTCCGAGGAGCAGTTGGCCACCCCCGCAAGCCGCACAAGGCAGCCATGTGTCAGCTGTCCTGAGCCGGGACTGTGGGTGGGCGGGGGTGGAGCGTGAGGGGAAACTGGACATTCCGGCCCCTGCGTTCTGCCAGCCCCCTCCATCCGCTGCCCTTAGTCGGCAGATCAGCAGTCCCGGTCTCAACCCCAGCCTAGGGGCCCCCAGGTCCTTCCCGGCTGTGCGAGTGGAGTGGACATCTCAGCCGGCTCCCTCCTCACGCTGTGGGCATCCACAGCTCCTCCAATCAGGGTGCGGGCTCCTGCGGACCCCTGAGGCGCTTGTGTTTTCTCGCCACTTGCTCCCGGCAGGCTGACATCCACGCCCCCAACACGTGTCTGCTCCGTGGGCTGTGTCCCCCTCCGCCACGCCCCACACTCAAGAACACCTGTCCCCAGGCAGGGGCTGCCTGCTCTTCCCTGACAGCAGCGGGGCGGTGCAGAGACCCCTCCGACCCCCGTCCACCCGAGGTCCCCCGAGAGCCGACGCCGGGGAGTGGCCCTGCAAGGGCCTGGGGTGCAGGACGGGCCCGCCCGCGGCCCGGGACGCACCCAGCGGGCATGCTGGAGAACGCGAGGGAAATGACTTGCTGAACAGAACAGGGACCAGCCCTCAGCATCTCCAGCGCACCCCTTCCTTCACCCTCCTGGCTGGGGCCGCAGCACACAGCCCATTATCTGCACAGCCCGGCATTGTCTCTGCCAAGAGGGAGAATACATTAAGTTGCCTTTGAAATCCTTATCGTGCTCCGATCTGCATGCATTAGCATATTTTATGATTTAAATCTAATTATCAGGGTTTTCTAGGCTATGGGACTGAAAGTGATCACAGTCGAGCACTTCAACACAGACAGAAGGAGGCAGAAAAATAGCCGACCTGATGGAAAGCTACCACACAGAACCCCCCAGACGGGTGGGAGATCAGCAGTCAAGAAGAGAGCGAGGTCTCCTGCCCGGCCCGTGGGCAGGACCCCTCAGGGGACCACGCTCCGTGTGGCCGTTCTCTCTACCACACGCAACCACGCGGGCCAAACCCAGGCCATTGCTTTCTGGAAGAGTCCTCAATGGTAACCAGCACCCTTACAAACGGTCTGCCAGGCCTTTTGCTAAGAGGCCGAAAATCGCGCCATCCTCGGCCAGCCTGGCTGCCGCCAGCGACTTCAACAGCCAGTGTGGTCCAGGACAAAGCACCAGCAGCTGGGGGCTCAACACTGCAGACAGCGCCCCTCACAGCCCTGCGGGCCTGTGCTCCGAGCTCCGGTGTGGGCAGGCGGCTGTCCACCGCGGCACGGGGGCTCCAGGAGGCCTCAGGTGCTCTGCGCCCTCCCCACACACAGCACCAACGGGGCTCCTCTGCAGTTCCCCTCAGAGGGGCCTTCCTCATCTCCGACTGTCCACTGATCCCGTCCACAGGACTCTGCTGGCCACGCTGATGCCTCCTGAGCCAGCCCCCACTTCTCCGCAGGGTGAGGGTCTGCAGGGGCCGTCTGGGACCTGGCACGAGCTCCTGGGGCCTCTGCAGAGCAGAATGGCCAGCACAGAGCACGCAGGCTTCACTGACAGTGCCCCCACCCCACCGTGAGGACGCAGGCGCTGGCCCGCGCTGCCTCTGCTCCCAGCCCCCACAGAGCTCTGGCCACTCGGCCCCTGCAGCAGGACATCCACTCCACCTCTACTGGCCAGAGCCTAGCCAGCTGCCACTTGTGTGTCCCCTCCAAGCATGTGTGGGCAACTTTCTCCCCGGGCAGCAGAGCTGGGGCCCTCCCCCAGAGCTTGTCATCGCACGTCACTGCAAGGGCAGCTCTGCCATAGAAGGCATCCCTCAGCCCCCCTTCCTGTCCCGCCTCGCTCTCCCATCCCGCTGCTGCCATGGCACATGGTCCTGGGGGAGGCCGGTGCCTTCATGCTGGCCATCCCTGCCCCCACCTGTCTTTTTTTTTTTTTTTTTTGACAGGCAGAGTGGACAGTGAGAGAGAGAGACAGAGAGAAAGGTCTTCCTTTTGCCGTTGGTTCACCCTCCAATGGCCGCCGCGGCCAGCGCGCTGTGGCCGGCGCACCGCGCTGATCCGATGGCAGGAGCCAGGTACATATCCTGTTCTCCCATGGGGTGCAGGGCCCAAGCACCTGGGCCATCCTCCACTGCACTCCCTAGCCACAGCAGAGGGCTGGCCTGGAAGAGGGGCAACCGGGACAGAATCCGGCGCCCCGACCGGGACTAGAACCCGGTGAGCCGGCGCCGCAAGGCGGAGGATTAGCCTAGTGAGCCGCGGCGCCGGCCCGCCCCCACCTGTCTTTAAAAGGAGCAGCCCCCGCCCCCACCCCGCAGCAGAGCACACACTGGGGCGTCACTCTCTCCACGGAGCCTTTGCCAGGGTCCCTCAGTGCTCGGTCTCCTGCGGTGCTGGGTTCAGCAGGAGCCTGCCTGCCGCCTGAGGACAGGCCCAACCTGCTGCCCTCTGCCCCCAGGCCCACACAGTGCTGGCCTCTCAGTGGACCCTGGACACAGGCAGAATGGGCGAGGGTTCTGGGCGCCAGGGGTCCAAGCAGTTCCTGAATGCCGCATGGGCGGGGCTGTTAACACTGGCAGGCCTCCCAATTCAGAGCCCACCTAGAGCTCCTGCACCCCAGGGCTGAAAGCCACCGCCTTCGGGGGCCCTGGGGGCAGGGAGGAGCCAGCTCTGTGCTCTCAACTCCCTCCCCAAAGAGCAAACCTCCAGAAGGGCACGTCCCCTGCCAGGCTACCTCCAGAAGGGCACGGCCCCGCCCCCTGCCAGGCTACCTCCAGAAGGGCACATCCCCTGCCCCCTGCCAGGCTACCTCCAGAAGGGCACGTCCCCGCCCCCCTGCCAGGCTACCTCCAGAAGGGCACGGCCCCGCCCCCCTGCCAGGCTACCTCCAGAAGGGCACGGCCCCGCCCCCTGCCAGGCTACCTCCAGAAGGGCACGTCCCCCACCCCCTGCCAGGCTACCTCCAGAAGGGCACAGCCCCGCCCCCTGCCAGGCTACCTCCAGAAGGGCACATCCCCCGCCCCCTGCCAGGCTACCTCCAGACGGGCACGTCCCCTGCCCCCTGCCAGGCTACCTCCAGAAGGGCACGGCCCCGCCCCCTGCCAGGCTACCTCCAGAAGGGCACGGCCCCGCCCCCTGCCAGGCTACCTCCAGAAGGGCACAGCCCCGCCCCCCTGCCAGGCTACCTCCAGAAGGGCACAGCCCCGCCCCCCTGCCAGGCTACCTCCAGAAGGGCACGTCCCCCCCCCCCTGCCAGGCTACCTCCAGAAGGGCACGGCCCCCGCCCCCTGCCAGGCTACCTCCAGAAGGGCACAGCCCCCGCCCCCCTGCCAGGCTTGGGTTTTAGCCTCCTGCCTGCTGGGATCTCGATGTCATGGAGATAGGAGTCCTAGACACAGCCACAGGAGGTCCGTCCCACGGAGGCCCTGTGCTGCGTGCGAGTGCAAGTCCTTGGGCGGAGGCTGCAGGCCCCTGCCACCCAGTCACCACCTGCCGAGAAGACCCCGGGGCTGTAAAACAGTCGTGATGTCTGCCGGATCTTCCTGGGACTCCAAGGTCACCCCAGAGCGGAGTGAGGCTGGGATGGGAGTGACGTCCGGACACCTTCCTGATGGCTGCAGGGGCCTGGGCACCAGAGGTTGCACTGGAAGGTGCCGTGGGGCTGTGGACGGCGTCACCAACACGCATGTGCTTGTTGGAAAAGACCTGGGTGGCTGCTACCCTAACAGGCCCCCTGTGCCGGGAGATGCCCCCCACCAGCCACGGGCCAATGGGTTCCCTGGCAGGGTCTCCGCCTGGAGCCTCAGGGCACCCAAACCCCCCCGGGGCAGTGGCCCAGCACCGAGCCAGCTCTTCCTACAGAGCCTGCTGCCACTGCCTGATCTGTGCGGCGCTCTGCAGCTGGACAGCCCGGAGTCAGAACCGGAGACGGACCCGAGAGCTGCGGTTCCAGGCAAAGCTGCGGCCCTGCGCTATCTGTGGGAGATGGGCTCCAGGACCCGGTGCGCGCCAGCATCTCTGGGTTCTCAAGGCCCTGGCGCGGCGTGGCGCGGTGCAGGTTTGCCTGGCCCCTGCCCACCGGCTCCTGAGAACCGAGTCATCTCCGACGACTCTAGACGCCGAGAGCCCACCTGAATTCCGTGTGGGCGGTGGCTACACCGTGCTGTCTAGGGGACAAGCACCAGAGAGTACACGCTCAACACACACAAGTATTTCTGACCACACCTGGAACAATCCATGGACATGGAGCCTGCGGGCCTCCAAGACTGGCAGACTTCAACATCACGGACACGGAGGGCTGACTGCACCCCAAACACAGACACAGAGGGCCAGCTGTACCCCAAAAATGCAACACAGAGGGCCAGCTGTACCCCGGGACCACTGGCATGGAGGCTGGCTGTACCCTGAGAACGCTGACACGGAGGGCTGACTGCACCGAGAGCGCGCGGAGGAAGAAGTCAAGCTGAGGGACTTGCTTTAGAGTAAACGTTCAAAGAAGCCGAGATGCGGTCCACAGCAGTGTCCACCCACTCCCCGTGCCCAGCGTCATCCACTGGGTGTCCACCCCGCATCCCTGTCGTGCTCCTGGGTGAGCCCCAGACAGAGGCACAGGGTGTGCAGAGCAACAGAGCAGTGTCCGGAGGCAGCGGGGCCCCTTTCTTGGGGATGGCCGCCCCCGCAGGGGCCGAGATGTGTCCGGAGGCAGCGGGGCCCCTCTCTCGGGGATGGCCGCCCCCGCAGGGGCCGAGATGTGGACAGGGCAGAGGGGCCTCATGGCCCCTTCTCCACGGAGGGAGGGAGCTCTGCCCGGCTGTGCTCAGAGCCTGAGAGCATTGATTTAGAAGAGAGGAAGAGGTAAAGGCAGCAGAACGTATTCTTCTTAAATGACTCTTCTTTCAAAACTTTCTTTCAGAACAAATAATTCCAGTGGGTACCGTCGAAATAATCCTTGCACAGTAAACGCAGCAATTCAGGGACAATGGCCTGAGGTTTTATGAGGTTACAAGCACGCAGCAGGCCGGGCGTCCACGCTATTTGTGGGAGGCATTCTGTTGTACATCCAAACCTGATTATCACATTTATTAACACAATCAAATGCTCCACTTGGACACAGCCCACTTTTACCTTCTTTTAAAAACCCTGAATAGAAACACAAATCTGGTCAATTATCCCCCACGGAGCAGCTCCAGCTTTATAGATTGGCAATGCAATTGCTTTCAATCATCGAGCAATGTGACAGATAGCAATGATAGATTAAACAGTTCAACTCTAGGCTGCATATTATAATGCATTTAACTTAATCTTTACATCAATATCCACTCCTCTGGATACCCTGCCAATACTCAGAGCCCACAGATTAGCCGGCACCACCAGTGGAGGGACAGCAGCACCAGGGATGGGCTATCTCACTGCCCTCTGCGGTCCAGGCCTGGTTACCCCCGGAGGCTGCCCGGCCACATCCTGCACCGGCTGTTCTAGGCAGAGAATTCACACTCCTGGCGACTCCACAATGGCACAATGTACGCAGAGAGCAGGGACACAGGCCTGGGCTTGACTTACTTCTCTGCACGCCGTCCCTCCATCCACAGAACGGAGCCTCAGCCACCCACAGCGATGGAGGCGCGGCAGAGCCTGCACACGCTCCCAGGTCCCAGGCCCAGGATTCCAGGTGTTCTGACCGTCTCCACACCCAAAGCTCTGAGCCGGAGCAGCTCTCAGGACATCTGGGAACAGAATCAGAGCAAAGTAGCCTGGGCATCTTTACCCCACGCTTTCCTTCTTTTCTTCTAAGATACAAATTACAGTTACCCAGGAGAAAGCGCACGTGTCTGATTTCCACGAGTGCTCCCGAGAGCCTGCACCAGCTCTCCTGACAATGAGGCTTTAAAAATTATGGTAAACTATAAGTAACACTTATAATGTCAACCACTTCTAAATGCACAGCTAGCGGCATTCGCGACACTCAGCCGTTGTGCAACCATGGCCACCTTCCGCCTCTAGGACTCTGTCGGCCTCCCAAGCTGAGACTGGGGGCCCCAGTACACCTGAGACCCACTGGTCCTCCCCTGGCCCAGCCAGCAGCGCTGGGCTCCCTCTGGAGTCTGCCTGCTCCAGGGACTCCGGTAAGCAGCCCCGCCAGTATCTGTCCCTGTGAGGCCGTTACGTCCTCGAGGTTCAGCCGTGTCCCTCCCCTCTAAGGCCCAGTGACTTCCAACTGTGTGGACGCCCTGCTTCCGCCTGTCCACCCCGATGGCCATCTGAGTTGGGTCCACCTTTCGATTGTTGTGGAGGGGACAGCTTCGAGCTGTGTGTAGTAGGTTTTCACATCCCTTCTTGTAATTTAATGTAAACCTGCCCAGGAAAAGGCCACTTTCTTTGAAGCAGTGCATATCCCTTAACCACCACCTGCAGCACGGGCATCCTACATGGGCGTCGGCTTGAGTCCCAGCTGCTCCACTTCCGATCCAGCTCCCTGCCAATCAGCCCGGGAAAGCAGCAGAGGACGGCCCAGGCACTTGGGGCCCTGCACCCACGTGGGAGACCCAGATGGAATTCAGCTCCTGGCTTGAACTTGGCCAAGCCCTGGCCGTTGTGGCCATTTGGGGGTGAACCAGTAGATAGAAGACCTCTCCCCACCCCCTCTGAGGGGGAACCAGTGGATGGAAGATTCCCCCCCGCCACCTTTCAAATAAATAAATCAAAGGAATAAACTCTCAGCCTCGGTGCCCACAAGGGGAACAGGCAGCCGTAGTCATGAGAGCAGAGTCCCGGGTGCTGCCTGCGTAGACGGACACCACCCAGCACCACCCTTAACGGATCATCTCACAAATCAAAATCTGGTGAAGCTGTAACAAGGGGCACCACGGCCAGACCCCAGCACGGACGAGAACCCCTGCACAGCAAGGGCATCGTGGGCCACGGCCACACGTGCAGTGGCCCGGATGTGCATGTGAGTAAGTACGGAGACACTTGTGGGGGCCCCACCGCAGAGAACATCCCCACAAATCATCAAAACGTGCTGAAGCCACCAGACACTGCCTGCCGGCCAAGGGGAGGACACCAACCACCCAGCCTGGTTTGAATCTGCTGGGTTCCCCGCATTAGACCTCGGCCACCCCGAGGAGCACACGCAGGACCCCATGGATCCCATGTCCTCAGGAGGAGGGGCACGCTGGAATCTTCCCAGAACACCCGGCTCGCTGCTCCCGGATGGGCCGCCTCAATGGGTGGGTTTCACTGTGTAGTCAGAGGCTGCCTTCAATGCCCACACAGGGGAACAGGGAGGTCTTAGGGGCCGCAGGGCAGGATGCCCCAGGCCACGAGTGGGCCCTGGGACTGAGGGCGACCCGACCTTCTCCTGACCCAGCGGGAGTGCTGAACGACTGGTGACAGAGCAGCGGTAACAAGGCACCGTCATCAGCTCAAGCATGGCTTATTTCCAGAATTTTCCATTGAGTGATTTCAGACAGTGGACGACCGCCTGCCCGTGAAACATGACGAGGGGACGCACGGCCACCTGGGTGAAGTCATCAGACCTTGCAAGGTCGGGCGGGCCCTGCAAGCTCTGTGCCAGCCCCTCCCGCGAAGCTGTCCCAGGCAGGATGCACCAAGCTGACAGCCCAGGGACAGTGAGGTCCCCACGAGGCCACAGCAGGAAACCAGAGCCTCACAAGGCCTCGGAGGTGGTCCCAGCCCCTGCAGGGTGGGCGCAGTGGGGCTGGGTCTGGAGAACGGCAGGTGGAAGCGTGAGGACGACAGAGATTCGAGCCATCTGCTTGCAACACCGGGACCCTGCCAGGGCACAGCACGGGGTCACCCCCAGCAAGGGCCTTCTGGGGAAGTGCCCAAGCCACGATGGGCGTCTACTCCCACCTCGCTTGCACCCTGCGGCCCACAGATTTCAAGAGCCTGCTCCTGGCCTCAGGCCCCTGGGCACTGCAGAAGCAGCCCCGGCGTGATGTTATGTGGCACCAGCCCGACCCCTGTGACCTGGCCTGCGCCTCTGCTCGGGGACAGACCCGGACGGCGGGTCAGGGAATGGCGAGGCCTGGGTTTCTGCCTTTTATTCCGCTCCCGTGGGGCTCTATGCTCACAGAGTCGTCCAGTGAGGAGCAGCATGGTCCCCCGGGAGCTTGTGGGAGGTGCTGGCTCCCAGGTCACCCCTGATCTCCTGAATCTACCTGCAATTTAGAAGACCTTGGGTGGGGGATGGCACTCTGGCATGGTAGGCCGAGCCTGTACCTGCGGCTGCTCCACTTTCAATCCAGCTCCCTGCTGTGGCCTGGGGAAGCAGGGGCAGATGGCCCAAGTGCTTGGGACCCTGTACCCATGTGGGAGACCCAGAAGAAGCTCCTGGCTCCTGGCTTCTCATCGGCTCAGCTCCAGCCACTGCAGCCACTTGCGGAATGAACCAGGAGAACCAGGAGATGTCTTCCATTTCTCTCTCTCTCCTTCTCTCTCTGTACCCCTGCCTCTTAAATAAGTAAATAGATCTTTAAAAAAAAAAGACCCTCGGGTAAAACAGGTGCATGCAGCTTTGAAAAGCTGTGTGTATGGTCAGCCAGTCGTGAGCACAGCCAGACACCTGAGGCAAGCAGACTTGTTTTGGCTCATGGTTATGGCGGTGCGGGGCTGAGTGGCCACATCTGCCCATGGCTTCCACTGGCAGAGTCCTGGGGTGGTTCCAGCGTCCCAGGGTGAGGGGCAGGGGGCCTGTGTGTCAGCTGGCCTCTTCCTCTGCTCCCAAGATGCAACGGGGGACCACTGCCTGAGGACTGCACCCAGCTTCAGCGATCCAAGGCCACGCCTCCAAACTCCAGGGCAGGTCACGCCTCCCTCTCAATGACCTCCTGCGCAGGCTGCTCCAGAACACCTGGCCTGCATGGCCTCCTTCAGGGGTGTGGGACCGCCAGGCCATGCCGGAGGAAGCCGGAACCGCCTTGGCCCTCAGCAGGTAGGCGCAGAGGAGCACAGCAAAGGGGCCTCAGGGAAACCAGGGGCAGCGTTGGGCCGCCTGGGCCCTCACAGGGGGAGCACAGGGATCCTCCTCTCTCACAGCTCCGACGAGCCGGGCCCTGGGCAAGGATGAGGTTAAAGCAGCTGGCTCTTGAAAATGGGAGAGAGCACCCAACTCCGAAACCGCTGCCCCCGGGCAGTGCCGGAGCCCCAGCCAGAGGTACCAGCCCAGAAGACAAGCGTGACGGGGAGCAGGGCGACGCCTGTCCACCTGTCTCAAGCCGAAAACCCTGTGGAGATTGACCTCATTCCTGTGTGTCGGAGCACAGCAACACCAGGTGCCAGTTAGCGGGACCTCTGGCAAGCTCGCACAAGTGTCATGAGCCAAATAGAGAGCTCAAAACCACTTTCCACCTTGTTGGAGGCAGTGCTGGTGTCGCGTGTTGGGAGAAGTGACAGCGGGCTGTTGACGCTTCCACTTGCATGGATGGATAAGAACCGCAGCCACAGTGGGGTCACAGGAGATGCCTCTGAGCAGGAAGATGCTTCTGTCTCAAAGGCTCCTGGGCCCCAAGGATTCTACCGCAGGTTCCTGGCTGCGGCTGCACTCCCCAGGGAAGCTGCACAAAACCCTGAGGCTCAGGTCCCAGCCCATCAATGCGATGAAAGCCACGTAGGTGGTCCCAACACTCAGGCCAGTGTAGGCCCCCAGGCATGCTGGCACCACCCACCAGCTTCCATGTGCTGTGGGCCCGTCTGGGGTGCCGAGATAAGGGTCTGACCTGGGCTGTGTAAGGGGCCGATGGCATTTCTGCTCTCATCTCCACCGTAACAAGGAGGCTGACTCCATACTCCCAACCTGGCTGGGACAGTCAGAGAGCCGAGCCTGCAGCCAATGATCACCCAGCATTTCGGGAGACGCAGGCGGTGACACAGGCGGCGCTGACTCTCTGCAAAGAACAAGACCCCTCCCCACCCCAGGCAAAAGAACTTGGCTGCAGCAGCCGAGGACGTGGCTCAGGCCCCGTGTGGTGGTCCCGTGTGGACCCCCGGGGTTGCAGGAAGTCAAGGGGTCCACGCTGTGGACGGGTTCTGGCTCCACAACCTCCACGGGATGCTCGTGGGGAAGACAGACAGGGCCCAGAAGTGGCCTTGAGTGAAGACCAGGGAGGATGGCAGCCGCTGGGGAGCAAGGCCGGAACCGTGGTGTGCTTCCTTTCCGGCTGCACTCAGAACAGGGCCAGGAGGGCGGCGCCGCTGGGAGAAGGGGGAAGCGGGATGGAGCTGCTGGGGAGGGCAGGAGTGTGAGGAAGCTGCTCCCACAAGACCTAGGACAGGGCTGTGGGCCTGGCTAGGGGCCTTCCTCACAACAGGAGCCACGCCCCACCCTCCTCCTCCTCTACCTCGGCTAGGAAGCGCTGCCTAACACATGTGGTGAGCCTGGCTGCCAGCCGGGGTGGAACAGAGCAGGCCAGCGCCCTCTCTGATGCAGCGTGTGGGAGCAGCCGCGGCCAGCACCAGGTCCCCACCCCACGGGGAGGCTGGGGTGCACGGCGGGTCCCTGTAGAAACGCACGTCCCAGGCGCACTCAGCTCCTCGCAGGTCACAGGAGCCCCTGATCCGGGTTTTGCTTCCTGAGGTTTCAGGGGCCCGGGTCAGCCATGGCCTGAAAACAACACGTGGAAAATTCAGGAAGTAGGTAGTTCACGAGTGCTGACTTGCACGCTCTGGGAAACCCCGCGCTGCCGCCCGCCCTCCCCTCTGTCCAGTGGATCCATGTGGCTACGCTGCCCCCCTGCCAGTGACCGAGCAGGCAGCTCGTGTCCAGCACCTGCATTTGAATTAACAGCCCCAAAGCATATGACGCGGGGCTGGGCCTCCAAGTACCCCAAGGAAAAGCCGAGAGTGCTTCCTTTCAGTGAAAAGGAGAGAAGAGTTCATGCTTAGGTTGCTGAGGTCTGTGGTAAGTTTTACTGTTAATCTCTGCCTGTGTCTATTGTATAAATATAACGCTGTCATAAATACGTACTTGCAGAGCAAACAGCCGAGACAGGGGTCCGTCGTCCCGTGGTTTCAGGCATCCCCTGGAGGCTTGGAACGGATTTCTGGTGTCGACTGTGCTGTCTACACCAAGAAGGCAAGCTGTCCACACCAGGGAGTAGGGCAAGCCCCCATCCAGGCATTGGAGCCACCTCCCTCCTTGCTGAGCCACACAGCATGTGGCTTTCGCGAGAAAATTGAGACAACAAGGCAAGGAAAACCCACTCATTTCCAAGACAGAGCAACCGCCGGACCGTGGCTGAGAAGACAAACAGTTGGAACTGTCTGTCAAACCACTGAAATAGCTGTAATTAGTATGCTGAAGGCTCCAGGGGGAACAAGTGGCCAAAGGGCCACTGCCGCCCAGACCAAGTATGAGCAAAGCCAGACACTGGCACCAGGATGAACAGCCTCGCGGGGCGGGCAGCGGATGACCGAAGAGAGCTCGGCAGCGATCATTAGGTTGGAACGCAAACAGCAAAGCCAGAGCGTGCACACGCTGTGGGACCACTTCAGGCGGTCAAGGTCGGCGTGGCTGAAAGACGGATCGGGGAAAGGAAACACCGGACATTTTAACAGCCACGAAGTCTCAAACAACAAGGACCGGCATCAAGCTACAGGTACAAGGAGCTCAGAGAATACCAAGTTCGATGAGAATAATAATAGAAGCCACCAAGGATAGCACATTAAACTGTTGACAGCCAAAGACAACAGGACATCTTGAAGGCAGTCCGAGAGAGGACAGCTAAGAGGGCCCAGTGGCCGAGCACACCGGGAGACAGCAGAGCCACTGGGTGGGTGTTGCGGCGCGCGGGCTGGCTCAGCCTGGGACACCACACCCCACGCCTGCGTGCCTGCTCTGAGCCTGCCTCCACTCCCATCCAGCTCCTGCTGCCCTGTACCCTGGTGAGCAGTGAGGGCAGCTTAGATGCTGGGTCCCTGCCCCCGACCCAGCGGATGCAAGAGCACCACCACTTCCGCTGCGACTGTGCCTTTCAAACAAAAATACAAACTTAATTGCAGAAAGAAAAATAGCCAAGTCAGAACTCTATACTCAGATAAGAAATATTTCAAAAACGAGGAACTGACGCTGTGATGGCAGGCTAAGCTGCGCCAGTTCGGTCCCAGCTGCTGCATTTCTGACTTAGCACTTTGTTGACACGCCTGGGCAAGCAGCCGAGGGCGGCCCAAGTACTAGGACTCCTGCTCCCATGTGGGAGACCTGGGCGGAGTTTGGGGAGGGAGCAGCAGGTGGGAGATCTCTTTCTCTCTGTTAATTTACCCTTCAAATAAATAAATACTTAAAAATATTTCAAAAATGAAAGAGAACTATTTTATGAGCAAATAAAAACAACGAGGGCATTCAGTATTAGCACACTTTACAAAAACAGGTTAAAGAATGTCAAAGGAAGCAGCTTAATGAGAAAGAACACATCACTTTACCACTGGGATCCACAACACAAATGAAGACCACTGGGAACACGAGACAAGGGCACATTTCAGTTCATTTGCTGCTTTATCGAAGACCACTGACTGTCTGAAGTAGGACCAACCACGGCGGGCAGGCGGCCTGGAGGCTAAGACCCAGGGACACAGCGGTGACGGCTCAGGCGCCCCCAGTGTGGGAGACCTGGACTGTTTCCAGCCTGACCAGAATCTGGGGAGTGACCCAGAGGATGGGAGATGTGTGAGTGTGTGCGTGCGTGTGTGTATTTCTCTCTCCTTCTCTGACTCTCAAATAAAAAAATCAGAATTCAAAAAATAAATACAGCAAGCAGAGGAGGGGAAAACTGTGTGCAGGTCAAATTTAACCCCTCGTTTTCAACCAAGTCTCGTGAGGAAGCAGCCACACCTGTGCACTCAGCACCCACGGCTCTTTCACACCCCCACAACCAGACCCAGCCACTGTCACAGCACCGCAGGGCCCGGGAAGCCAGGCAGAGCTCACAGGCGCCTGGTCTGGCCGAGACGCAGCAGCCGCGTCCCTGCACTCGCAGCAATGCAGGAAGCTGAGCTGTGACAGGCAGCACGGAGGAGGCGGCGGAGGAACGGGCGACAATTTAAGGGCCTGGTGCTCCCCAGAAATGGGCAGGGCTCTTGAAAACCAGTTATTTAAACCAAAGGCAAGTGCTAAAGGAGTGTTTCTGTTTGTTTATTTATTTTCATGTTTGAAAGGCAGCGAGACAGACAGAGACAGACGAAGAGTTTCCATCTGCCGGCTCACTCTTCAAATGCCTGCAACGGCTGAGGCCGGGCCAGGCCAGGGCCAGGGGCTGGGAGCTCCATCCGGGCCTTGCACACAGGTGGCAGGGACTCAAGGACTTGGCCATCTTGGCTGCCTCCCAGGTGCACACGAGCAGGAAGCTGGGGCCAGGGCTCTGAGCAGGCCTCCAACACAAGACCTGGGCATCCATGGCAACCTCAAACCGCCAGGCCGGGAGCACTCCCAGGGTTCATTGGCCATGGACTCCTTTCTGTGCTTGTCAAAGTGCCGTCCCTTTTGTTAGAGTGTCACCTGTAATCACAGGTCCTGGGTGCGAAATCAGTTTAACCACTGCCATAAGATTATTTTCACATAATTCTTTAAAGATTTATTTATTTATTTGAAAGTCAGAGTTACACAGAGAGAGGAGAGGCAGAGAGAGAGAGAGAAGTCTTCCATCCGATGGTTCACTCCCCAGACGGCCACAACAGCCGGAGTTGCGCCAATCTGAAGCCAGGAGCCAGGAGCTTCCTCCAGGTCTCCCACGTGGGTACAGGGGTCCAAGGACTTGGGCCATCTTCTACTCCTTTCCCAGGCCATAGCAGAGAGCTGGATCGGAAGAGGAGCAGCCAGGATTTAAACTGGCGCCCATATGGGATGCCAGCGCCCCAGGCCAGGGTGTTAACCCGCTGAGCCACAGAGCCAACCCCTACACATAATTTTTTAAAATCCAGACTTGTGAAGCTAAGTTTGCGAGGGAAGTGAGCCATTCACTCCACACTCCCTGACCCTCCAACCTCACAGATTTCGGCGGGGCCAGGGTCCCTGCTGCAGGCGTCCCTGCCTGAGCCCCCCACTGCAGGACACCTGCTTCCCTCTTCCGAGGAAAACTCCACAGGGCCAGGGCCCAGCTCACAGCTGCACCCGGTGGTCCCACCAAGGGCGGTGCCAGTGCTGAGCCAGCAGGAGGCTTCAGCCTAGGGTCCAGACCTCCCAGGACGCCTCACTGCACAAGGGTCGGGGTCGGGGTGCAGGGCGGGGTTAGGAAGAGCCACAACACCCTCCTGCTGGCAGTGGCCCGTCTGTCCATCTCACAGCCTGGGACGCCCCACGTGCCGCTCTGACGACAGTAAGGCAGTGGCCCAGAAGGCACAGCCCAGCCTGAATGTGCTTCCCCGCGGTGCCAGCCGCCCAGTCAGCCCCTGGCCACACCTGGGAGTCTGCATTAGGGCCCTGCTCTGAACCACAGCTTACAAGCTGCTTACGGGGGCTGCAGTACACCACTGGGAAGTCCAACACTGAGGCCGGCAGACTCTCTCCCACCACATGGGGGTGATCCAGGCGGGGTCCACTGACCCCGACAGCAGGTGGTTCTAGGATAGGTTCACCTGCAGGAGGCCACGGTGCCGCCACGGACACAGACTGTTGGACGCAGGGTGCAGCAGGTGATGGGGACAGCATTCAGAGGTGGGCAAGCTGCGGCACACTTCCTAGACACATGGACCCCAGGGCTGGGTCTCCTTACAGCTCTCAGCTCACATCTCCTGGTCTCCCCTACAGAGACCCTCACTTCACACCCCCTTTGGTCTCCTCTACAGAGACCCTCACTCCATGTCTCCTCCTGGTCTCCCATAGAGACCCTCACTCCACACCTCCTCCTGCTCTCCCCCACAGAGACCCTCACTCCACATCTCCTCCTGGTCTCCCCCACAGAGACCCCCATCCACACCTCCTCCTGGTCCCCCCCAGAGACCCTCACTCCACGTTTCCTCCTGGTCTCCCACAGAGACCCTCATCCACATCTCCTCCTGGTCTCCAGATGAGAGCCACACCCACTTCCCTCCATTAGTCACTGTCCCTCTTCCTCTCCCTGTACGTCTGGGGTCACAGCCTGTCTGTACATCTGCGCACATGCGCGCTGTCTCCTGCCCTGGCCTGCAAGTTCAGCTCGAGCCTGGCCCACAGAGCAGCTCACTGGGCACCTGCAGAGGGCATGAGGGGACCCCAGGGGGAGCTGTCCGGGGCGGTGTCCACCACTGTCACAGAGGGCATGCGGGGACCCTGGGGGAGCTGTCGGGGGTGGCGTCCACGTCTGTCACAGAGGGCATGCGGAGACGCCGGGGGGAGCTGTTGGGGGCATTGTCCACCTCTGGCTGTCACAGAGGGCATGCGGGGACCCCGGGGGGAGCTGTCAGGGGCGGTGTCCACCTCTGTCACAGAGGGCATGCGGGGACCCCGGGGAGGGCTGTCTGGGGTGGTGCCCACCTCTGGCTGTCACAGTTGGGGGTGGTGCCCACCTCTGGCTGTCACAGAGGGCATGAGGGGACCCCGGGGGGAGCTGTCAGGGGTGGTGTCCACCTCTGGCTGTCACAGAGGGCATGTGGGGCCCCCGGGGGGAGCTGTTGGGGGTGGTGTCCACCTCTGGCTGTCACAGAGGGCATGTGGGGACCCCGGGGGGAGCTGTCAGGGGCGGTGTCCACCTCTGGCTGTCACAGAGGGCATGTGGGGACCCCGGGGGGAGCTGTCGGGGGCGGTGCCCACCTCTGTCACAGAGGGCATGTGGGGACCCCAGGGAGAGCTGTCGGGGGCAGTGCCCACCTCTGGCTGTCAGAGGGCATGAGGGGACCCCGGGGGGAGCTGTCGGGGGTGGTGTCCACCTCTGTCACAGAGGGCATGTGGGGACCTCGGGGGGAGCTGTCGGGGGTAGTGCCCACCTCTGGCTGTCACAGAGGGCATGCGGGGACCCCGGGGGGAGCTGTCGGGTGTGGTGTCCACCTCTGGCTGTCACAGAGGGCATGCGGGGACCCCGGGGGGAGCTGTCGGGGGTGGTGTCCACCTCTGGCTGTCACAGAGGGCACGCGGGGACCCCGGGGGGAGCTGTCGGGGGCGGTGTCCACCTCTGGCTGTCACAGAGGGCATGTGGGGACCCCGGGGGGAGACGTTGGGGGCGGTGTCCACCTCTGGCTGTCACAGAGGGCATGTGGGGACCCCGGGGGGAGACGTTGGGGGCGGTGTCCACCTCTGGCTGTCACAGAGGGCACGCGGGGACCCCGGGGGGAGCTGTCGGGGGCGGTGTCCACCTCCGGCTGTCTCAGCCACCTTTAGGATGAGCCGGGGCTCGGAGTGCAAGGACATATCAGGTTTATCCCCCTGCTACTCTTTCTGTGATACACAGTACTGAACGGCATGATTCTACATCGTAAAACTCAACTTTTCTGTCAAAAGCAAGATCATTAAATAGGAAGAAAATGAGTAAAAAAAATGCATCCTGTCCAAACTCCAACTGACTCACGCTCACTCCTCTCCCATAGCTAGGGTCCCGTCAGCTTCGCCCAGTCTCGGCAGCAGAAGCAATCCCAGATATTCCCGCGGGCCTGCACACTTCCTGCTTCCAACTGTCGCTCCTCATAAGGCCATCCCCTGCCTCTTCTGTGGGCATCACTGTACACACCTTTCCCTCCAGATTCTCACAGCTCTTAAGGACGGTCTGGGGCACCTGCCTCTCCTCACCCACCCTCCACAGCCAGGCCTGGGGCACCCACCCTCTCCTCACCCACCCTCCACAGCCAGGCCTGGGGCACCCACCCTCTCCTCACCCACCCTCCACAGCCAGGCCTGGGGCACCCACCCTCTCCTCACCCACCCTCCACAGCCAGCCCTCCACAGCCAGGCCTGGGGCACCCACCCTCTCCTCACCTACCCTCCACAGCCAGCTCTGGGGCACCCATCCTCTCCTCACCTACCCTCCACAGCCAGGCCTGGGGCACCTGCCTCTCCTCACCCACCCTCCACAGCCAGCCCTGGGGCACCCACCCTCTCCTCACCCACACTTACAGCCAGGCCTGGGGCACCCACCATCTCCTCACCCACCCTCCACAGCCAGGCCTGGGGCACCCACCCTCTCCTCACCCACCCTCCACAGCCAGGCCTGGGGCACCTGCCCCACCCTCTCACCCACACTTACAGCCAGGCCTAGGGCACCTGCCCCACCCTCTCCTCCCCACCCTCCACAGCCAGCCCTGGGGCACCCACCCTCTCCTCACCCACCCTCCACAGCCAGGCACACCCCCAGCAGAACCCCCAACCTCTGGCTTCCCCTTGATCAGCTACACCTCTCTCATCCACCCCTCGGTCACTCCTGCAACCACACGCAGCGACCCCATCTGCTCGTCCCACTCTAATCCGCCAGGCAAGCCGACCTGTGCGTCTTTGGGGGCATTGTTCCTCTGCCTGCCTTAGTAACCCTCCATCCATCAGTTTCCACACACCTGGGAAAGTTCTCTTCCTCCTTAAACCCAGCTCAAGCTCCTCTCCTGTGACAGCGTCCACAGAGCAAACAAGCTCCAAGTCTACGTGGTCTCCATCCACGGAGCCGCAATTACGTGTTGATGTGTCGTCCTCCCTTTCAGACTGGAAGCTCCCAGAAACCAGATTCTGTGTCTCATGGGTGCCAATGCCTGGCTGGCTACGCAGGGGCTGGCACAGAACAGCTACTCCCCGCACGCTGGTAAAATGAAAGGCCGTGCGAGTGGTGAGAGGGTGAACAGAAGAGTCGACGACTGGGCAAGACCTGGGCATAAACGCAGTACGTCTGAGAACATCCACTCCCCGCACGCGCCGTCCTGCATCCCCGCCCAGCAGCCTGATGTGCCTCCCGCTCCAGCCCAGCGGACGCTCGGGGACTGCCCTCCCCTCAGACAGCAAGGACCTAGCCCAGCCCCCGCTCGCAGGAGAGAGCGTGATCGCAGCGATCTCGGAGGGGCAGGGAAGTCAGCAACATGCACTTCTGACCCCCAACCGAACACACGGGCCAGAGCTTCGCGGGGGCGTTTGCCTGGAGGGAGAGGTGAGCACACCTGTGCCCCTTTATGTCACTCTGCACCTGCCACCCCGCCGCCAGGGGCTGCAGCATTCACGGGACACTAACCCTGCTACCTCGGCTTGACCTGCAGGGGCAGGGGTCACTCTACCCAACTCCAGTGTGCGACACATGGGGCGACAGACAAGACTTCAGATGGCCAGGTTTGCAGGAGGCAGACAGATACACACACAGAGCCGACAAATGACACGCCACACGCCACACTTCTGGCTGGCAGGGACACTTCATCAGAAGCACCTAATGGCCGTGCCTCCGTGGCCTCCCAAAGCCCACCTCCCTGCGCCTCAGTGAGTCGGGAGCGTGTCAGCAAGAAACCGGGACCGGAGACGAGCAGCCGTGCTGACGGCGTGCGTAACACGGACGTCGAGTTCCTGTCATCCTCGGGAACTCTCGTGTGGCTGCATTCAACGGGGAGAAGCACCGTGAGCAGTGTGAGTGTGAGATCCGGCAGATGTGAGAGGAGTCGTCAATCTTGCGTGAGCAGGTGCTAATGTGTCACAATTATCCCTTCTGGCAGTTGATGTTTAGGATTTCGGTTCCCACCTAGTCAATCACAGCTGTAATTGTTCAGCTACTTACATGGCTCATGCTCTGGGTAATAACCAGATAGGATTTAGTATTTGACATTCACCGTCAATTACCTCCCTGCACCGGCATCTGGAGGCTGGGCTGGCTCGTGACTCCCGGATGAGATAAAACGGGCTGTGTGTGGAAGGGCAAGCAGAGGAAGGGCAGCCCCGCGCCTCCAGCGCTCTGCTGGCTGTGCCGAGAACCGGCTACTTCCTGCACGTGTCATCCTGCAGTCCCCTGACTGCGGAATCTGGCAAGCACTGCGCTCCTCCAGGCCCCGCTGCGGGAGGCAGCCGCGTTGGCCGCCCGCCCAGGAAGGGCTGGGAGCAGGAGGCCCCGTGCAGGCTCCCCACGGAGACACGGGCCGCCCAGCGTCAGAGCGCCGGCCGAGGGTCCTCCCAGGGACCTTCATCTGCAACAGCAGTGGGGACGATGCCAGCTCCAGCGTCCCAGACCTGCGTTGAATCCAGGTCCTCTCACTTCCTAGCAAACAGAGGCAATGACTGCACTGTCCGAGCTTCAGAAGTGGCGCCGCTGCGGGGGCCAAGCCGTGACAGGCCAGGCGCAGCCCAGCACAGAGAAGGGGTCAGCGTCCGCGTGGTGTGCTGACCTGGCCAGTCACCGTCTCTGACCCTGGCCCTCCAGGGCTCAGGGACAGGTGAGTCCGCAGAAGCTCGGCTCTTCCATCAGCTGGGGCTGCTCCACGGCAGGAAAAGCCCTCGCGTTTGTGGTTCCTCTGCCCTGGCACCTGAGGGCATTCAGACAAGCACCACCGGAGGGCCCCACGGGACGCCAGGCCCCTGTGCTGGCTTCCAATGTCCCAGATTCACTCAGAGCCACACTTCCCTGGCCGGCACCACGGACACAGCAGGGAGCCCACTGCTTGTGACCTTAGGGGTCCTGGCCAGCTGCTGGGGCACGTGGTCCCGGCCCTGGAGTCCCAGCCCCCAGGCGTGGTGCCCGTGTCATCTAGGTAGGTTCTGAGCCAGGCACCGCCTCCAAAACTTGTGCCCATTCATTTCATCCTGAAGACACACACGCATGCACACACATACACAGGCACACATGTACATACAGGGGTCCTCAAAATGTTTATGCAAAATGCATATCATGAAAAAATACATGAATTTCAAAAATTTTTTTCAAAAATAAACATCTTTTAAGTGTATTTTCCACAAACTTCTTGAAGTTCACTCATACACACACATTCAGTCATGCACAAGCACACACATACACAATTATGTACACATACACACATGCATACACACCATAGACAACCACACACTACACGCATTCAAAATCACAACAATGTTCATACATAATCATATACATGCACAATCACACATATGCAATCACATGCACACAGTGCACATGCATTTACACATTCACAAGCATACCTGATGCACACACATCACACACACGATGACATACACAATCACATGTGCAGTGACATGCACACACAGAATGACACACATCACACACCACACACACACATAGCTTGCACACTCACACACATTACTTGCATACACATGCATACACATACATAATTTGCACACTCACACACATTACTTGTGCACACACATGCATATGCATAACTCGCACACTCACACATGCACACACATACATAACTTGCACACTCACACACATTACTTGCACGCACACACACACACGCTCCCTGGATGTCTGAGTGTGGCTGGCTCTATCCGGGGCCCTTGCATCTGTGTAGTGCCAGGAGAGGCTTCTCCCCCAGCCTCACGGGGCGGCTGCCCGGACGGGCTATGGCGGACAAGTGGGGTCTCACGCTCAGCGGCTCCCTCACCCCTCACAGGGTGTGGCCTCAGGTTTGGGGTGCCCATGGTGCGGTCAGCTCTGCCCCTTCCCTTCTGCCTCACCTCCCTCCCCGGGGCCCCCACGCCTGCTGCTGGGACGACACTGGGACTCATCTGGGATTTCCTGGAGAAGGGATGCATCAATTATTCTGAGGAATGTAGGCTTTCTGACATTCTCATGCGTGTGCGTGTGCGTGGGTCACCATGGGGGCAGGTGTTGGGATTCTGCTTTCTGCTAATAACTCAGCAAAACGAGGGATCCACGAGTATTCAGCCAGGTTTGGTCCTGAATGAGAAAAGCATCACTGTTTCTCCGTTTCAGGCTTGCTGGCACCACACCAGCCACACCGGCGGCGCTCTCTGGGAAACAATGCGCTCCGAGTTATGAACCGCTCCTCACTCCATGCAGAAGAAAGCGGCGTGTTTCAAGGAGATCCTGCTTAAAGTTTAAATCGGAAAAGACGCGGCGCTGACACCCAGGCCGCATTAAGACTTCAAAGCAGGGACCCAGTCATTTTGCAATAAAACCTGATGCCGTGTAATAGTGCCCTTTCAAGCCACTTGGGACTTTAAGACTTCAAATGAAATGCTATTAGCAGAGACAGATAAACAATCTAAGCCGCTATTTGCCTGGGGTGATACCCTTGTGATTTACAATGGGCAAAGAAAATAGAGAGCGAGGTGCAGGGAAGAGTGACAGGAACAGCAGCCAGCCGCCCTCGCGAGGCCTGGGGTCCCGCTCCGCCCGCGAGCGCCCGTGGCCGCGGCTCCTCCAGCGCCGGCGCTGCGCTCCGCACGGTGGCATGCGCAGACTTCAGGGAAAGCTCACGCGAGAGGGGGACAGCGCTTTGTGTCCTTCAGCCCAGCGGGGTGGGGGCACCCTGGCTGGAGACCGTTCATTCAAATAGCCAGGAGAAGGGCTTCCGAATGTTCCTAATGCACAGACCGACGTCCGTCCGAGGTGACAGGCCAGGTGCCTGCACCTGCTCCGCGCTGCAATGCCACCTGCAAGCTCACCAACAGCACACTTGGTGGGAACAGAAACACAGCTCTGGCAGCAAGGGGGCCCCGTCCCGTCAGCATCCCGCCTGCACCCACGCGTGATGGAGCTGGCTACTCAGCCTGGAGCCAGAGCACCGTCTGACCTTGCCCTGCTGACCACACAGCCAAACCGTGCAGCGTCCGACCTCACTGGGGGGCCCTGGGGCCCACCAGCCTCCTGTCCCTTCAGGAAACTGGAGATGGGCTGGGTCA